GCGCTGCGCTGCGCTGCGCTGCGCTGCGCTGCGCTGCGCTGCGCAGGTCACAGCTGTGCGTTTCAAGTCCAGTTTACACCTCCGCTCCGACAGATGTGCAGGAAGCAGATCGTGTGATAAATTCAGAGATAAGTGTTGAAGTCACAGCAAAAATAATTAATTCTGTGAAAGACGAACTCCAAACAGCTGAAAACAACGATATAAAGGCTTTGATATCTATGTTGAAACTGTCTCGCTGTCAGCTTTCTGAAACTTCTGATTTCAAAATAAAAGTATCATGTGTGTACACATATGCTTCATGCTACATGTTTCCATCTGCTTCCCAAACAGAACCATACATTCTGACAGCATTTGTGTAGAAATGTATCCATATATTTATTAATATAACTGCAATTTCGACATTATTCCGACAAATTATCCAGGCTAAAAGTGTCTTATTTTGAAAATACGGATGTTGTGCTCATTTCTTTTCCTKTTGGTGTGACGTAATCTTTAAAAATTGACTCTGGCACAGCTCCGGCAAAAATAGGATCTGTTCTAATTTTGACGGTTTGCCGTCCGCTCACCACCGCCCTGCTCAGCCCTGTGCAGCCAGTGGAAACACTCTCACTGGTTATAATGGGTGTGTGTTTGCTGTGGAGGTCGGACCGGAGCGGAGTGGAGACGGAACAAATGTTGTGTAAATTAGTGGTTATATAACAACCATCTTGTCTCTGATTGGCTGTTTCTGACCAGGTGTGGTGTGTTTCTGTAAACGGCTGTAGGACCACTGGGAGGAGCTTTATTTTTTCACAGATCATCTGTCAGGACATAATGACAGTTAGAACAAATATGTAAAAATACATTTTCTTGAAAGTTACCAACTGCAGCTTTAAGTGTACTTTCATTTGATGTTTCATTTGATTTGATGGGATGCCCCCTCAACACAGTGCAGGTGKGGGGAGACAGAAGAACTCTGGCTAAAATAACATCATTGATGAACAACGTCTCCCACCCCATGAAGCTGTGGMTGAACTGGAGCTCCTTCAGTGACAGACTGCTGCATCTGAGGAGCACAAAGGAGCGTTATCACAGATCCCTCCTCCCAGCAGCTGTCAAACTTTATAACCAGCATTACGCCCAAAAATCACAAGTGTTTACACACCTGCTGCTGCACAACCATGTGTACTCTTACTGTTCATTGTCATTGCTCAACTGAACAATCATTTGCACTACTACTCTGCTGTAATTACACATCATTCTTGTCTGCATTGTGATACTTCACTTTACAGTTATTGGTCTGTTGAGATTGTTTTGCACTGAAAACAGACAATTTCTGATTCCTAATGTCGCATTCTGATAGTCTACTTTCTCTAAAACAAAACATATCCTTTTCTATCCTTGCACAATTCTTTATATCATATTTTTTTATTATTAATAGTCATATCATGGCTAGTCAGTGTTAATTTTCTTGTGTGCACTATCTATAGTTTATAAAGTAACTAGTGTGTGAACCTCTGTACTGATGCTGCTGTGATACCTGAATTTCCCCTCTGTGGGACAATAAAGGCTGTTTTTATTATTCTATTCTATTCTTTGTCCCATTCATTTCTGCTGACATATTTGTTTCTGTGAACAGGAGAACCCTTACCTTTGCAGTGATGAGTGTGATGCCTCCAGCCCTGACTTATCTCACCCTCCTCAGCTGATGGGAGACAGGGAGAGGGGTGGGTTGATCACATATTGGCAGACAGTCACTTGGTCCCGGTATCCTGAGCCCTTATTGGCCAACATCACTCTGTCATGGAACAAGAGCCTTGAGGTGGTTGATGATATCATCATCACTTTCGAGTATGGCCGACCAACCAGTATGGTGCTGGAGAAATCCATGGACAAAGGTAACAGACCAAGATGGGCTGCAGAGGATGGGGGGTAGTGGGGTTTATTCATCCATCTATATATTCTTTCTCAGCTAAAGGCCAGAGCCTCATGAATGATGATACAAATGTGAATTCACCAAGACTGATACCAATGACAAGGACAAAAATATGTTTTCAGTATTAAAACATAATATGGGTAGGCCAATAGGAAGTCATGTACATATATTTACGTAAAGTCTCAAAATAAAATTCTATTTTAACTTGCTAGTAACATGTAGGACTGTGTTCTGCCCACCAAAATGAGATTGAGTCAAAAAACATTAAAAAGATGTTTGTGTTGCAGGTGCAACATGGCAGCCATATCAGTATTATGCTGATGACTGTCTTGACGCCTTTGGCATGTCGCCTAAACAAGTTTCAGATTTAGCACCAACAAACCTAACTCGAGTTGTCTGCACAGAGAATTATTCCCGCTGGGTTGGAGCCAAGGTGAGTAAATGGACCTGACTACTGAGAAAATTAAAACTGTAACATTGTTGTAATACTCTTATTTAAACATTTGCTTTTTGACTGAAACAGGAGGAAAAGAACGTGGTGTTTGAGGTGCGTGCTCGATTTGGCGTATTTGCTGGTCCAAAGCTGATAAACATGGATGCTCTGTACACTCGAATGGAGACAATGAAAGGTCTAAGAGACTTCTTCACCTTTACCAACCTCCGACTACGACTCCTCCGTCCAGCACTAGGAGGAACCTATGTACAAAGAGACAACCTGCTGAAGTACTTCTACGCTGTTTCCAACATTGATGTGCCTGCCAGGTAACTAGTTCACAACGAACCAAACCTACTGACATCTGAAGACAGCTTGCAAATTTTAAAGACATCTAAAACATGTTTGGTCCTGTTTATTTGGATTAAATTAACGTATCTACGCATAAACTGAAGATCCATACCAGCAAGTACTTGATGTTATTTAATCCACTGATGCTAAAAAGGGATGACAAAAAATGGTTGCATGAAGTACAAGATGATAAAATGGCTCGATAGAAAAACTGTTTGCCTTCACACCCAACAAGCCAACAGGTGTCTTCAATGAAGGTTTGGTACTTATAACAGTACCATCTCCTGGCAAACAACAAGCAACACTAGCCACAAAATGTCAAACAAAAATACACATWAGGCAAATAAGACTATTTGGCCCATGCAACATAGTCTAATAATCCAACCAACATCTTTCAAAGGTAACAACCTGCTGTTTACTTTTACTGATCACACAACCATCTACGTATCATCCATCCATCCATCCATCCATCCATCCATCCATCCATCCATCCATCCATCCATCCATCCATCGTAATAACCTGCTGTTTACATTTACTGATAATTTCTTTTCAATTAAATTCAAAATACTTTATTGAGCCCAAAGGGAACAACCAAAACTATCATCATAAACCAACCATCTATCAATCCACCATCCATACAATCCTTAAAACATGGGTTCAGCAAACATTTATTGTCCTACACCCCAAGAAGCTTCAAGATAGAATATTTCAGCAGGTTGTGATTCAGTGCAGGTTTAGCTGCTAAAGTTATGAAGCTGATTCAAGGGATCAGCTCTCCAAATGTGAGAGATGAACCAATGCGTAGGTGGTTTACATTCAGTGGAGCCACCCCAACTTTAGTGAGCAAGAGCAACTTGCTATCAGGTTCTTTCTCTAAGGGCTTTGGCCAAAATCTCTAAGTGAGCACTTCACTTGTACGTACCAAGCACCATGGCAAAAGTTCAYGCAAAGGTCAAATATGTGAAGCCTGTGTTTTGAGAGCCACAAAGACAACCACTGAGTAAAAGCAAATGCTGCAACACTTATGTACACTCATTTATTGGAATATTAATACACAAATTTGTCAAGCTGTTCATCTCTTAAAAGTCCTTGTAGCTGAAATGCTAGAATGATTAGAAATTTGTCTGCCTATATTTTTGACACAATGTAATTCAATTTTTGTGAAGGATTCAGGATGGCCAGGAGAACATTAAGGTAGAGAGTAATATTTAATTTTAACAGATTAGTGTAAATGTCAATATCTTTTTCCTGTTTGTTTCCAAGGTGTAAATGTAACCTGCATGCATCTCGATGCACACTSCGTGATGCAGCACTGCAGTGTGAATGTGACCACAACACAACTGGACAGGACTGCCAACTCTGCCGTGGAGATTTGAGACCTWACAGCTGGAGACCAGCATCGTACCTGCCCCTGCCCAGAGGAACGGCAAACACCTGTATGTATCATTAATACGGAAAATTTCAACACCAATACACATCTGCAGACTGAAACTCTGTCCACACCTTTACATAACAATTAGTATTACTGAACTGAAACTACAATATTTTCAAAATATGTTAAACACAAATTTTAAATTCAGGAATCATTTTATTTTCCTAAATTAACCACAAAATGTCCTACAGAACAGAGGTCTTTGCAGCAAAGGGCCTAGAATCTACAATAACTTGGTTCCACAATAATAAATAAATAATAAATAATGTATGTACTGTATGAAATGTCATACATATCAGTCCAAACGGATTGCAATTTGGGTGGTCACTGAGGCAAAAACTCGGGTGTGGGAGGAGTTTGGAGAGCTCATTGAAAAAGACTTCTGTACGGCTTCAGGGCAATTCTGGTCCACCATCCGGCATCTCGGGGGGTGGGGGTGGTTATCCACCAAAAAAGAAGAGCAGTGTGGTTCTGGTCCTGGTTGTGGAACAGCAGACCAGGTCTACACCCTCAGCAGGGTCCTGGAGGGTTCATGGGTGTTCAACCAGTCTACATGTGTTTTGTGAACTTGGAGAAGGTGTTCAACCACGTCCCTCAGGGACTCCTGTGGGGGGTACTCTGGGAGTATGGGGTACCAGGCCCATTGAAATGGACTGTTAGGTCCCTGTAGGACCAGTGACAGAGCTTGGTCCACATTGCAGGTAGTAAGTCAGACTTGTTTCCAGTGAGAGTTGGACTCCACCAAGGTTGTCCTTTGTCACTGATTCTGTTCTTAACTTTTCTGGACAGAATTTCTAGGAGCAGCCGAGGTGTTGAGGGGATCCTTTTTGGTGACCTTAGGATCACATCTCTGCTTTTTGTGGATGATGTGGTCCTATTGGCTTCATCAGATCCTGATCTCCAGCTCTCACTGGAGCGGTTCACAGATGGGATGAGGATCAGTGCCTCCAAATCCCAGACCATGGTCTGGAGCCGGAAACCGGTAGGGTGCCTTCTCTGGGTCAGGGAGGAGGTCCTGCTCCAAGTGGAGGAGTTTAACTATCTCAGGGTCTTGTTCACAGATGAGGGAAGAATGGAGCAGGAG